TGCTGACAGCTCATTTCCCAAGCTCAATAGCTGCAGTGCTGTCAGCAGGGAGATTTTCTGGCTGGTTCCTGACAGTCTCAGCCCCAGTGGAAGAGGAATTGAGGTTTCACCCAAGCCAAGGTCAATATGATAACATAAGGGGAGGGATGAATGTAGGAGCGTCGGGGGGTGGGATGGATGGAGATGAGAGATTTCTGAAGCCAGGTTGTGGAATTTGGGGTTTATTGTAAAGGGTGTGGATGCAGGGCCCTGCTGGGAGCTGCCAGCCACAGCTCAGAGCAGGCCCCAGAGAAGAGAGGGGGAGAGAGGATGAGAGGGTAAGAGAGGCAAGAGAGCAAAAGGGGTAAGAGAGTAAAAAGGGGTAAGCGAGCAAATTCCCCTTACAATACAATAAATCTTCTTCTGTGTTGAATATTCTGATTCTCACTAACCAATCTAGTACAATATACAAATCCTATAGCATTTACATACAGCCTATAAGAATCATTACATTGCCATACTGTGTTACATTTTAAACCCTAAAAACTCCTCTTTGGACCTTTCTGCCAAGCTGGTAGGGTCTGCTCTCACCCTTGGGCCTGTCTGAGAGCAGACGGTGTTGTTTCATCAAAAGGGGATCACCTTCAGCTGGCCACAGCATTGTTTTCCAGTTGTTCAGTAACTGAGGTATCTCAAAGCTTGCTTTCATGTCAATCTCACTTATAGTTTCTACATTCTCAAAATCTTTTGCCAGGCAATCACATTTATAAGGCTTTCCTGTTTCATCTTCCCCAACAGATGAGGACAACAGCACCAGTTCCCCACTGTCTGTAGGGTAAAGAAACCCTGTGACAGCTCTGTCCTTTGAAGCAAGGTTTTCCAGGGTCCTGATTGCACTATGGAAATCCAGCATGGGTATTTGAAGCCAAATAAGCTGTTCACAGGGAGAACAGCCTGCAAAGCCCTCATGAGCCCTCCTCCTGTGTCTGCACAGACCAGGTTTATGGGTCACTGCCTGGAGAGCTGGGGGCTAAAGCCAGTCCTTGGCCCCTCCATCCTCCTTGTCATAACCCTTGAGGAGCAGTGAGCCACTCTTGTCATGGCCACGGAGAAATTGGGTTTCCCATGGAAATCGTTGCACATATTCACTTAAATTAACTATTTCCAAATATTTTCTTGTTTGTTCTTAAATACTCCTGGCTCCTGAGTATTCCTGTGAGCTGTCACTGCCTGAAATAGCCATGCAAAAGGTAACAACACAACCTGCTTTATAACAATGCACATTTGTTCAAGTCTTTGAGTCTGAAGCATTTTCCTAGGGTTTTTTTCTATCTAGACTTAAGAAGGGAGGGGAACAAAGCAGGTGGAAATGGAAAAAGAAAACCCATCCCCAAATGCAGGATGTCTCCTGCCTGTTGGTCCCTCCTGTTGCTTTGCTCCTTTGTAAAAAGTCTAAAAAAGGAAATTAGGTGTCCACTAATTAACATTTCTTTAGCATTTCTACCTGAAAAGGACCATGAATTTTACAATATGGGATACATGTTGAGTACATTTGCCATCATTTGTGTACCATCTCTTGGAGGTTTTATATCTTGGAGTATCCAAATTGCACTGAAATAAATGTCAGGATCCTTTCGGTTCAGTTCCCAATGGCACACGGCAAAGTCTTCAGCTCATCAGTGGTTTTATCTTGCTTTGTGTGCTTATTGTTATATCTTGTTATTTTAAAAGAAGAAAAAAATCCACTTTTAAAAGAATGTTTCAATGTTGATAGAACCTCAGGCACAGCTTTGTTGAGGTGGCTTCTGCATAAGAATACTCAGTGCATTTTTTTAAGAATTAGCTTGATGGATTTTTCCCCCCCCCTTCCTTGGCTTAGCAGTCCTGAAATCAATGGGATCACAGAAGTGGAAGGCCGTGGAACTTCAAGGTGATGCAGAATATTTGGCACCTTTGTGATGAACACAGACTTGCCAGCCACAAAAGACTCATTCTGAAATTCAAAGCATGTGGGTTTGCTGGCTAGGGGTGGAAGGAATATTGGAATATTGACTCTGTTTACTAATACATGAAGATCATCTACACTGCAGGATAAAACCACAGAAGATAGGATGGGAACTAGTCTCCAGAATTACCCAGATTATGTTTAAAGTCCACTTAGACTCTCCAAATATGCAGTTTACATGGCTAGGACTGAATTTTAACTTGTGAAAGCACAAGAAAGGTAGAATAGAATCTTGTGTTTTGGGGGAAAAAAATCTTAGGTTGAGTGTAGATCTGAAGGAGTTGAAAGCCCATCCTAACAAAAGCCTCTTGGCATCCAGATATTTTCTATCATCTCAACATAAAGTCATGTACTCTTTTTTAGGAGCTGGGACATGCTACTGATACATGGCTTTCCTCTCAACACACAAAGTGAACATTCCCAGAAATCTAGCTAAGCATTAATCAACCATTCAGTGGGACAAATGTGTTTTCTAGTAATAATAGTAATTACCCCTAAAAGTCCTTGAAAGTTTGTGGCATTCACATTCTCTAAAAAACCCCTTCACCCAGGATTTTTCCCCTGGAAAGCTGAGAAGCCCCAGAGAAAAGGAAAACAATTCTTATCTCATTTGCTTCTCCTGTGTTTTGCTCCTTTGGAATATGTTTGGAGATTGTTTACCCACAGGTGATTGTTTTATTGGTTTCTGGTGTTATTTTGACTCTTTGGCCAATCAGGGCCAAGCTGTGTTGAGACTCTGGAAAGAGTCACAAGTTTTCATTATTATCTTTTGAGCATTCAGTAAGTATCCTCTCTGTATTCTTCAGTATAGTTTAGTGTAGTATTCTTTGATATAGTACAGTAATAAATTAGCCTTCTGAGAACATGGAGTCAGATGCATCATTCCTGCAAAGGTTCTTTTATTGGTCAGAGCTCCTAAAAATATTACTTAACTGAGGATATCTCTACAAGACACAGGGAAGAAGAAGGATGGCAGGTGTAGAAATATAAGCCTTTGAAAAGTGAATAAACTGATAATGAACCACTACTAAATAGCTCATGGCTATTTAGATTTTGTTACTTGGGTGGAGAAATAACTTAGGCTCTGTCATCCCTGATATCCTTGGGAAATAAACTACCAAAGTATCCAAAGATTAACCCCAGAATGAGTTATGCAGCAGCAGCAGAACCATATTTTACTCCTTGTCTGGCACAAACACGCAAATGTGGCCGGACACCTCCATTCTCTCCCCCACTAACCTGGTACATATAAATACAGAAAATGGGTGCTCCAAAGCGGGGTGCAAAGGCAATCTAAACCTTAATCATTACTAGAAATATGTACTAAGCTTTCTTTAATTGAAATGAAGTAAAGGAGTGTTTCCAGGGGAGCTGCAGATACACTTTGACAGGGCTTTCCAATGCAAATCCCCAGTGTGGCTGAAACCTCAGCACAGCTCAGATTTATGGCCAAAAAGGGCTGCTTACACTCCAGGCTCAGGAAAAGTCTGTTGAAGAAAGCCAATCTCCGTTACATCTGAGCCATTTGGTTCCTCACTCTTTAGGATTCCAAGGGCAAAATAGACATAAACTTCCTCAATCATCCTCAAACCCAGACCTGCTTCTATACAGGGTACACAGCGAAGATCCCTAAACCTTAAATCCCAAACTCATCCTTCCTTTTCTTCCTCATATTACCTGGTTTTAGTCAATCTGGTCCCTCCCAGAAGTACCATCACCCATCCCAGACTCCATCCTACCAAGTGCTTTATACACACTAACAGGAATGGAGGAAAGAAATGGAGGGGTCATTGTTGTAGTGCGTTCTTATATTTTGTAATACTTTGAAGTAGTTGGTTTTGTATCCCCATGTTTTTCCCAAATGGCTTATCCCAGACTGTACCCCCTCCCCTCCTTTTCCCTCTACTTGTGTTATCCCTTTCCTGGGATAAGATCTCCAAAACCCCCACCCTGGCTCTCTGCCAGTCACCTCGACATCCCAGCCCCCTACCTAGAAGTTTCGGTCCAAGTTGTCGAGTGATTAGCCAGGGGCCAAGGGTCAACCCCCCAAGTCCTGCCCCATACGCTGTTTTGTATGTCTGTCCCCCCAGCACCCATCCCCCAGAGATACCTATTGGTCAGTAGGATTTTATCTATGTTAGTTTCCTCCCCCCTTTAAATGTAAGCTCCAAACGTCCCCCAGTGCTCTCGGCAGGAGGAACCCCCTGAGGCATAGGAGCTCCCTCGGGACTCCTTAATAAAACCTTGGAATATCCCCTGCTGGGAGTCGGCCCCTTTCCTCTTCCACCGACGTCTCGGTCGTCTCTGCTGCAGCGAAGGCAACCAGCCTGAGTGCCCTCAGCACCCTCGGGGCACAGAGAGTGTCTCCCCGCAGTCGGCCGTGGTGGGGCTGCACCCCCCACTCTCTGCCGACCCGGGTAAGGCCCAGGGACTGGAGGGGCTTGCAGAGAGACTGGGACAGCTTGGCGCCCAACGTGGGGCTCTGGGACCATTCCAGGAGCCCACGGAAAGGGGCTCGGACATACTTTCAGTCTGTTCGATAAGCCTTCGGCCGGCAAGCTACCTCAGGAAAGAAAAAACTCCGTTTTAGTGAGTTGCTCTCCTGTGGACGAAGCTGGGAGCTTCTTATGTACCCGAAGAAGTCAGCTTTAGGTGGAAATCAACAACCCAGGCTTTTTCGTTCCCCTCTCCTGCAGTTGGATTGGTAAGTTTTACCCTTCTCTTGTTTTTCCCCTCTTTGGGAGGGGGTGTTTCCCTGCCCTTTGTTCTCAGCCCCGCCGCGGAGGGCTGAAGTTTTTTTTTCTCTCTATTGTGGGCAGACTGCCAGCTGTAGGCTTTTTTCTCCTCCCCCCCCCCCCACCTGGGTTGCTGAAATTTGAGATACAAATTTAAAATCAGAGCCAAAATGGGTGCTAGGCTTTCTGTATCTCACAAGGGTGTCTATTATCATCTCTTAAACATTCTTAAGAGTGAAAAGATCCGATTTTCAAAAACAGATGTTAAACAGTTCGTCAGATGGCTTTTCCTTCACTTCCCTGACGTGTCCACTGAAAATCTCAGTGATTTGGCTTTTTGGGACAAAATTGGTAGTGAATTATTGAAGGCAGGGAAAGCAGGAGACATATCTCCGTCAAAATTTGCTTTCTTAGCCCTGCAGATAAGAAATGTTGTAAAATTTAATTTAAAGATGCAAGAACAGCCATCCGGCAACAGTTTCAATACCTCTGTTTCACAAAAACCCGATCTACCCCCCTCCGAGTTCGGTTCTCCTTCCCCCACCCCCCTTCCCCCACTCCTAGCCCCTGCACAAACCCCTGCTCCCCCCCCGAGGTTCCCTGTCTCCAACCCGGACACTTCTACCCTGAATTCCCGAAATCTTACCCTCCCCCCTGCTTCCCCAAGTTATAATACCGTGTCTCACAACCTTTGTGCCCGCCTTGGTACCCCTGAGACGCGCCCGGTAACTTCCCCGGACCATAATGGCGGACACCACGTGGCAATGCCGGTTTCCTCGCCTTCCCATAACCCCTTTCGCTCTCCCAACAACCCATTCTGCTCGGAGCACCCCGCCCCCGAAACCCGCCCTCCCGCCCTTCCCCCGTCTCCCCCTCCGGCCCCTCCCCCGGCCGCCCCTCCTGCCCTGGCTCCGGCCGGCCCCGCCCCCTCAGAGCTCTGCCCGCCCGCCGCGGGCTCCCTCCGCCCCCCCCACGGCCCGCCCTCCGGCCCTCAGACCAGTGTAATAAGAGACGCTGTCGCCGGCAGACAGAACCCGGAAACAGGACAGTCCTTTTCTGCTGCCCCTGTCTCATATATCCCTGATTTAAACGGGGCATTCCAGCCAAATTATAGCCCCCTTTCTGTTGATTCTGTTAAAGAACTAGCCAAAGCCCAAAAAGATTTTGGGAGATCAGGTGAATATTTTAGAGGGCTCCTTAAAGCTACATTATTCGCTCACATTCTAACCCCTGCTGATATAAAACACCTTTTTTCCTGCCTGTTATCCTCTTCTGAATATCTCTTGTGGGAGGTTGCATGGCAAAAAGGATTGAGAGCAATTTTACCAGCTCTGTGGGCTGATGAAGCTACTGCTCGTGATGTTTATGGTAATATGTTATCCCTCGATCACCTCTGTGGACAGGGGGGTTGGGAAAACGCCGTGACCCAGGCAGAAAGCATTCCCACAAGGGCTTTCAGAGAAGGTGCTAGAGCAGCTGAGAAAGCTTTCTTTGGGCTCCGTCCTAGTATTCCAATTGAAAATTATTTGAAAATAACACAATCTCCATCTGAGTCCTTTTTGAGTTTTGTGGAAAGGTTGAGAAAAGCTGTTGAATTGCAAGTTCAGAATGAAGGAGCCAGGATGGAAATCCTCACCGAGATTGCTAAAGAGAATGCCAATGAGAAGTGCAAAGCTGCTATCCTCAGCCTGCCTCTTGACCCAACGCCTACGCTGCAGGCCATGCTTGAAGTGTGTGAGAAGAAAGTTACCATTACCCTCGCTGACCACGACGAGAGACCAAAACCACAGAGGAGGATTGCTGCAGTGGAAGGCCCTGAGCCATCATTCACCAGCCAGCTCCAGCATGTCACGATACCACAAGAGAGAATCTCCAGCTCTAATAGACCTTGCCATCTTTGTGGGAAGTTGGGGCATTGGATGCCTAACTGTCCTCTGAAAAAGCAGTTTTTAGATTTTAAATACAATATGCTTAAGAACCAGAATTCCCCAAAGGACCACCTCTCAAAAAACTGAGTAAAGAGCGCTCCTTTCCCCAGCGCTATGACAAAAATAGGGTGGGCTCAATTCAAGTATGGGGGAGGGAAAAGAAATCTAGTGTAAAAGATGTATCGGTGCCAAGCGAGGCACTGGCTTTAAACAAAACAGAACATTCATTTCATTGGAATAATCCCAGACCAATTTTAACCACTGACTCTTCACATAACCCTTACAGGCTGGCGTTGACCGAACCTCTCCATCTCAGAGACACTAACTGGCATTTCATATCTGTTAACCCTGAACAACCAGGTACTTGGACACAGCTTTGCCAGAAGCGTCACAGTAAGTATGTCGTCCTTGGGGACACAAAACACACACCCCAAGAAATTATTATTCCTCCGGGTCTCATATCATCAGACCCAAAACAATTTGTCATATGGCTTCACTGTACTCATCCACCCGTGTACTTGCCCAAAGGCCAAATCATAGCCCAAGCCATCCCAGTACCTGAGCCTCCATGGGACCAGGAGCAAGCAAACACCCTCAGAGGTAAACTCCTTCCCAATGTCTGCTGGACTCAGGTATTGGGAAGAGAAAAACCCAAGCTATCATGTGGGTTACACCGTGGTGGTGAGTACAAGTCCATACAAGGACTTTTAGATACTGGAGCAGATGTCACGATTATTCCATCTAAAGAGTGGCCATCACACTGGGAATTGCAAAACGTAGCAGGACACGTGCAAGGTGTAGGGGGAATTCAATTGGCAAGACAGTCAAAAAACGTTGTTCAAATTGAGGGACCCAATGGCAAAATAGCTTCCATTCGCCCGTTTGTTTTAGACTACACAGAGCCCCTCTGGGGCAGAGATTTAATGGTTCAATGGGGAACCACAATTGACATCCCAGAAAACCCGCAGGTTTTTCGGGGAGCGGTCGCTGAGGTGCGCCATGCCCAAAAATTGATTTGGAAAACTGATACTCCAATAAGGGTAGTTCAGTGGCCGCTCAACAAAACCAAATTAAAGGCGCTTGAAGAACTTGTACAAGAGCAGTTAGAAAAAGGTCACATTGTGGAGACCACGTCGCCGTGGAATTCGCCTGTCTTTGTCATTAAAAAACCAAACAAAGACAAGTGGAGACTACTCCATGACCTCCGTCAAATCAACAATGTTATTGAGGACATGGGGTCCCTACAACCAGGGATGCCCTCACCAAGCATGCTTCCACAAAATTGGTCTTTAGCCGTAATTGACATCAAAGATTGTTTTTTTCACATTCCCCTACATCCTGACGATGCTCCGCGTTTTGCCTTCTCGGTTCCCACCATTAACCTGGAGGCCCCAATGAAGAGATACCATTGGACGACCCTCCCTCAGGGACTTAAAGTCAGTCCTGTGATTTGCCAGAGGTATGTTTCCTCCCTGTTGTCTCCAGTCCGTGAAGCTGCAGGAGATTCCATCATCCTGCACTACATGGATGACATCCTGGTGTGTGCCCCAAGTGATGACATGCTTACTCACACACTTGACCTGACAATCAATGCATTGGTTGCTGCAGGGTTCGAGCTCCAAGAAGAAAAGATTCAAAAGATGCCACCTTGGAAGTACCTGGGCCTTGAAATTGGAAAGCGGACCATTGTGCCGCAAAAATTGACTATCAAACACGATATCAAAACCTTAGCGGATCTCCATCAACTTTGTGGATCCTTAAATTGGGTGAGACCTTGGCTAGGCATTTCCACCGAAGACCTAGCCCCCCTTTTCAATTTGTTAAAAGGGGGAGATGACCTTAGTGCTCCTAGGACCCTCACCCAGGAAGCGAAAACCGCACTGGAGAAAGTTCAGGAAATCATGTCTACTAGGCAGGCCCACAGGTGCCAGCAGGGTCTCCCCTTCAAATTTATCATCTTAGGCAAACTGCCACATCTCCATGGTATGATTTTTCAGTGGGAAACTGTCCAGGCAAAGAAAAAGGACCAGGTCAAGAAAGATCCCCTCTTAATTATAGAATGGGTCTTTCTCAGTCACAACAGGTCAAAAAGGATGACAATGCCACAAGAGCTGATGGCAGAATTGATCCGGAAAGCAAGGATACGGATCAGAGAATTGGCAGGGTGTGACTTTGACTGCATTTACATTTCCTTAAACCTGAAATCAGGCCATTTGTCTCAAGCAATGCTAGAGCAATTTTATCAAGAGAATGAAGCCTTGCAATTAGCCCTAGATAGCTACACAGGCCAAATTTCAATTCACAGACCGGCCCACAAAATTTTCAATTCAGATGTTCAGTTTTCACTATCACTGACAAGTATTCAGAGCAGGACACCTCTAAAAGCACTGACAGTTTTTACTGATGCGTCTGGTGCATCTCACAAGTCAGTGGTAACTTGGAAAGATCCCCAAACTCAACAGTGGGAAGCAGATATTGCCAAGGTGGAAGGATCACCCCAAATTGCTGAGTTGGCCGCTGTAGTCAGAGCTTTTGAGAAGTTTCCTGAGCCTTTAAATGTAGTAACTGATTCAGCTTATGTTGCAGGTGTAGTGTCTAGGGCAGAGAATGCTGTGTTGCAAGAAGTTTCCAACATTCCTTTATATGAATTACTCTCTAAGTTAGTAAGAATTATTTCTTGCCGAGAACACCCATTTTATGTGATGCATGTTAGGTCACACACAGACCTGCCAGGGTTCATTGCAGAAGGTAACCGGAAAGCTGATGCCCTTGCGGCTACAGCCAAGATGGCCCCGCTCCCAGAGGTATTCCAACAAGCAAAGATCAGTCATCAATTTTTTCATCAGAATGCACCTGCCTTGGTCCGGCAATTCCATCTGAAGCACAAACAAGCCCAAGCCATCGTAGCCACCTGCCCTTCTTGTCAAAATCAGTCACTACCTACCTTAAGTGCAGGTGCAAACCCTAGGGGCTTGCAGAGCTGCGAAGTGTGGCAGACAGATGTAACCCACATCCCATCGTTTGGCAGATTTAAATATGTCCACGTCTCCGTGGATACCTTTTCTGGTGCCATCTATGCTTCTGCCCACACAGGGGAGAAAGCCAGTGAGGTAAAGAAGCATTTCATGCAAGCCTTTTCCACATTAGGAATCCCTAAGGTCATCAAAACAGACAATGGCCCAGCGTACAAGTCCAAAGACCTTCAGAGCTTCCTGCAGCAATGGGGAATAGAACACAAAACAGGCATCCCCTATTCCCCGACAGGCCAAGCTGTGGTGGAGAGAGCCCATCAGAACCTAAAAAAGGTTCTTCACCGACAACGGGAAGTGATGAAAACAGAGACCCCTCAAATCCAGCTGTCCAAAGCACTGTTCACACTGAACTTTTTGAACTGTACCTTTGAAAACCTTAACCCACCTATTGTAAGACATTTTAACGAGAACAGTCAGCACAAGCTAAAAGTCCGTCCGCCAGTCCTCATAAAGGACCCTGAAACTTGGAAAATAGAGGGGCCCCATGAGCTCGTAGTCTGGGGTAGGGGATATGCGTGCGTATCCACTCCCTCAGGCTTGAGATGGATCCCCTCCAGGTGGGTGAGACCATACATTCCTAAGGTGTCAAAGGACAAAGCTGCAACACAGGTAGCCAGTGCCTGCTGGAGGAGGAAGCGCCGTCGGACTCTTTAAAGTTAAATTGTTGTTACCTGGACCTCATCCTTAACACTTTTTATTTTCAGTTTTAGTGTTTTCCTTTGAGCTGAACTCAGCCCTGGTGTCATCAGAATGAGCCCCATCCTTCCG